CATTTGTTCAAGAGTTTGATTGAGTTCTAGTATTTCATTACTTATTTTTTGTCTAGTTGATCTATCTATTTGTGACAGTGGGTTGTTGAGGTCGAGTGGGGTATTGTTTCCGTGAACATTTCCTTAGTTTCTGGCATGACAAGATGTTCCACACTTTTATATTTCCTGCCCCTATTTTAGAATCTATCATTTCTCCCTGGAATCTTGGTTCTTTTTATTGAACAGTAATTGCTCTGTCCATTCTTCCTCCTGAGATTCCAACTATGCACATTCTACATTTTTGAAATTGTCCCACAACACTTAATTTCTTTTTCCCTTTACATTTCAGTTTGGAAAGCTTTTACTGAACTATCTTCAATATTATTAATTCTTTCCTCAGTTACATCAGGTCTACTGATAAACTCATTAAATTCATTCATTTCTTTTTAGTGCTTTTAGCTCTAGCATTCCCTTTGATTCTTTCTTAGAGTTTCCATCTTTCAGCTTACAACACCATTTCTTCTTGCAGGTAATTTACTTTCTCTACAAGAGTCCTTAACATATTATCCATGTGGTTTTTATGTCCATGTTTGACAATTCCAAAATCTACATAATATTTGATTTAGGTTCTGAGATTGTCTAACCAGTCCAGACTGTTTTTCCCCTTACCTTTTGACTAGCGTTACAATTTTTTATTATTGCAAGTGAGATGTTTTTATGATACAAACTGAGGTAAATAGGCCACCAGTGTGAGGATTGATTATAATTTTTATTTTAATTTTTGCTGTAGGGAGTCTCAAATCTCCCTAATGTTTTTGTTTGTCTCCACTCTTGATTTTGTGCTTCCCTCTATACTCTTATTCCTTAGACACAATATATATTTTGCAATTCTTTTAGCTATAATCCAGGGATGCTTTACTGGAACTCTGTTGGTATGGCAGTGCAATATCAGAGAGAGGAAGTCTTGTAAACAGCCTGATTAAATTACAGTCATTGAATCAAATAGTGTCTTGGTGCTGTGACCTTCATAATTGTATCTCTAATTGCAGCCTTTTTTCCCTTACCCCTCCTTCCTTCCCTTCCTACAGCATTTCTAGCCCATTTCCTCAAATTGTCACTTCACTTCTTGCCCTGGCTAAGCCAGCCAAGAATCTTTCTTGGATTTTTATCATGAACTTTCCAAAATTGTAGAACCCCAAAATAGTGTGTGGGAATCCCCCAAAGACTACAGTTCCAGGAATTACTCACTATTTCCTCTAGCCTAGACTCTGTCCATAGCTCTTCTTCAAAGTGTTTAAGGACCCAGTTGCTTCTGCTCCTGGTGAGCAGGTCTCAGCCATGTTCCTCTGGATGCACTTATACATATAGTTATAGGGTTGGTTCTTTGCCCTGCAAACTCAATTTTTCATGAGTCCAGGAGAAGTTGTGGATTTTCAAGTTGTCTAACTTTTTCTTACTGTAAGGATGGGCATGACAAGGGTCTTTACATGTCAGGCTAAAGCCAGAAACCACATGTCGGATTATAAATAAAATACTTCCCTTCATGTTTCCCTCTTTGATCACCTTTACTCTTTTCTAATTCTTCTGTTGTGAATTTCACTGTTGCTCGTTTACAGACAAGTGTTCAGATACATTTTAAATGAATCTCTGATAAGAAGATATATTTCTCTCAAAGTGTGAATGTGATTATGTAACTTATATCCTGGTATTTCAATGTGAGCCACCTTAGACACAGTTTAATGAAACTAACTGAAGAAGAGAGCCACCTATGAAGAATTTAATGAGGATTAATTCCTTCATTTTGAAAGGTTGAAAAGGTGGGTAAGCATTTTAATGGTTTCATCCATTAGGTCATTTGGTGCTAAGAATTGATGTCTTTGTCCTACTTAGGTAAAGAATTTTTATTGCTTGGCAGAAACAAGATTATCTATAAATTAAATTATAGTAGTAATTTTTCTCAGTTGACTAAAGGCACAATTTTTGCCTCAAACTCTTATCTACTGATTCACTGTATATTGGATGGTCGCTAAATCAGTAAACTCGAGGTTTTTGAATCTTCTTTCCATTTCTGCCTATCACAATAATAACTTTTATTAAAAAACCTTGCTCAAATACACATGCCTTTAGCACTTTATTAGAGCAAATCTCATGTCTCTCACCAACTGTAGATTTCTTCTGGTAGAATGAAAATAGTGAGGAGGAAGACAAAAAGGAAGAAGTGCTATGGGATGATAGCTTCTACTAACCATTTATCACTTAGCTATGTGTCTTCTGTTATTTAATTAATCCTCATACCAGCCTCATTTTTAGTATCATTTCATTTTGCAGATGAAGAAAGGGGGAATCTAATAGTAAGAATTTTTACTATTTTCTCTTTTCACTACCTGTAGATTTTTATCTAAGTGTAACTTGGCCGGCAGTAGGTACTCTATAAATACATAGTTAATAGAGTTAATTTAGGGAGAATTTGACATTCTTGGGCCAGGTTTTCAGTATTTATCAATGACCTGCTGATCCCTCAATTAATTCACAATTGAAAACCAGCTTTGACCAGAGTAGTGTTGGAAGTCCAGATTCTCTAAGTAAACAGAATTGCCGTCTGTTTTACTGTGGAAAGAAATGATCACCACTGAGTCATTTGGCTTCCTTATTCTTTATTGTACTTCAAAATGTTGAAAATTTCATTTTCTGTTTGAAGCCTAAAAAAGAGATAGTCCTTTTTAGGTATGATCTCCTTTTTCTGTATGATCTACTAACCTACTTTCTAGCTTAAAGCAATAGCTTACTTATTTAGCACCTTCATAAAAAAGCATATGACAAAGGATATTGCCTTTGAACACAGGTAAGACAAATAATGTTCTCATTTTCAAGATGCATAAGTAAGTCTCCAGGAAGTTTACTGTTTTCTGAGTCATATAGCTATTAAAAACAGAGCTAGACTTCAAGGGAAATTCTCTAACCCCAGATCTGGACATTCTTTTGGTCATGTTTTTAATGGCCCACTATATATTCTTCTACAGCTTGAGTTTCTACTCCATTCTAACTGCATATTTTTATCATTAAGTTTTTACATTTCTTTCCAGAAAGAAATGCATACAGCAGAAACAAACTCTGGCTTATTAAAACAGGAAAAAATGCTGAAAAGATATTAGATAGCTCACAAAATAGCCGAGAAGTTCAGACATGGAAACAAGGGAAACTGCTAGCAGTCAAAACATCTGCCAAAACCATGCAATAGAATACAGTATACACCTACATAATGGCTTCCTTTGCTTGTACATCTAGTCTTGCTGCCCTTAAAAACTAGACAATGTTATAGCAATTGCTACTGCCCACTACTAAAATGGTTTTCCACTATCCTTGTATCATATCTATCTCCTCTAAAATCATGAATACATATGTTTGGCTGAATATTGATCAAACTCTAGCTTTGGGGGAGGCTGGGAAAACAAGCACAGTTGTTTTAACCTATATCACTGGAAGTAAACTCTGTCTCCCACCCAAATTCATTAAACATGTACTCCCCTAAATATCAGGTGGAAGGTGAAATAATTGAAAGCCCCTACCCTGAACAAAAATGGTCAAATTCCATTCCTATTTCAATTTAATATTATATGTTCTTTCTTTGGACTAACTTTCTTTGGGCCAAGAAATATATTTAATTTATAATTGTGGTCGAATTTTCACTCAACTAGTAGTTAATTACCTTTTTTCTGTGACATTCTTAAGGTTCTAAACTGGTTATGTAAATTTCATCCTTCTCCTAAGTTTTAAAAAAAATTATCTTCATGCATCTTTCAAATGAGTGTAGTTATGCAGGGCCTGATAGCATGACAGCATAAACTGATATCTTATAAAACATTTTGAAAATATGAAGATATTAAACAAATTTCCATGTCCTAAGATTTTAGTATGAGTTTTGTTACTTTATTTTAGGAATTTAAAATATTTATTTTATTTATGATGTATTTCTGAGTCTGATATTCCTTTCTTCTTCAGTATTTTTGAAAAGTGGCTCCGAAGACACCGCCCTCTTCAAGATGTTTATCCAGAAGCCAATGCACCTCTGGGGCATAATCGGGAATCCTACATGGTTCCTTTTATACCTCTCTACAAAAATGGAGATTTCTTTATTTCATCTAGAGATCTGGGCTATGAATACAGCTACCTACAAGATTCAGGTAAAGTTCAATTTCTTTCAGGTGAATTACTAAATCTAGTTTGAACAATGTCTTTTGAAATAGTACAAAAACTTATGTTTTTAGAGTGCTATCTCTATAACCCCTTTAAATTGGGAATGCGTAGTATAATCAATCCTTCACTGATCACCAATATTATCACATAAATCAATATCTAAAGATCTTTGAATTCATTTTCATTCTGCTTAATAGAGGGCATTTTGTGCATGGAAGCCATGGAAAAGCACTAGAATTCAGGCAGAAAGAAAGTTTTGGGATATGACACATGACTCTATTCACTATTTTATGGCTTTGGGAAAGTTACTTCAGTTACTTAACTCTCAGATCATTCATCTGTGATTGGAACCAGAGTACCTCAAAAAATTGCAAGAATCATTAACACACCTAGTGTATTGTAGTACAGGTAAATATCTAGCAGTTTTAGAATTATCTTAGAAAATTTCTTTCTAGGGTTACCAAAAGAATTTGTGAAAACCTTGATTTTAAATCTATTTAATAATAATGATATGCCAAATATGGTGGCACACAGCTGTAATCCAGGCACCCAGGGAGGCCGAGGCAAAAATATCACAAGTTCTAGGCTAGCCTAGGCAGAATAGTAGGACCATATCTAAAATGAAAGTAAAATAAAAAAGGGGCTGGAGATATTGTTCAATGGGAAAGTACTTTCCTGGCATGTGTGAGACCCGGGGTTCAATCTCTACTACAAAAATAAAGGGGGTAATAGCTATTATAGTGTGATGTGCAATGCCTATGATTAAGAAGATAATATAAAATTCTGCAATTGGAATTTGTCTGGGTTTGAAATAATCTTTCTAACTAAAACTATGTCGGTAGGGGCCGGAGATTTAGCTCAGTGGTTCCGCTGCCTGCCTCGCAAGCACAAGATCCCGAGTTCAATCCCCGGTACCAAAAAAAAAAAATCAAAAACTATGTTGGTATCTTTTTGACAAATTAGGGACACATAGAAAGGCCTCTCCATTCCTGAATCTACTGCATGCAGATTCTTCATATGCATTATTAATCAACAATTTATTATGTCTTATTTTCCTAGAAATAGATGAGGATACTGGCCCTAAGAGAGTTTAAGTGGCTTTTCCAATACCATATACTAATATATGAAGGAACCAGATGTCAATATTAGGCAGTCTCCCTTCACTACCTTGTACTTATGTCTAATATTTGAGGACTAAGAACACAAAATAGTAAAGCAAGAAATGGCATGTGGGTAAGAGACATTCAACAAGCAGTGATGTTCTATTATGTTCACGGGTAATTCATGAAAAATAAAAGATAACAAAAATAAAATTTAAAAAATGAGTGAAATTTACCAACTTCTTAGCTCTTGTTTTCAACTCTACTGACACATAAATTAGTGGCATAGTTTCAGATCTCAAGAAGCTACAAATCCAATGTGGAAGCCAGATGACTGCAAAGGAAGTCCAAAAAATTGGGTGGTGAATGACTCATAAGCACAATCTTATAGGATCACAGAATAGAAAATCAATAATAAGTTGCAATAGTCAAACCTAAGAAGACAAAACAAGGCTTGAAAGTATCATTAGGCAAGTAGGAAACAGAAAATGACAGAGGATATTCTAAGCTAAGAGAATAGCAATAAAAATAGAAGTGGAACATGTACAGTATATATATGGAATATTGAGTTGTTTCTTGAATGGTATGAACAGTGAAAAATAATATTAGGAAGATAAATTATGTTGCTCCATAGTAATTTACACATATTCTTTTTGTATATGAGGAACTCTTCCAGGTGTGCTGTGTTATTTCCTTTAATCTTCTTTACTTCACAGGTAGATACAATTATTTATTTATTTCATAAATGAAAAACAGTAGCATAGAATATAAATTTTCCCAGGCTGTTTACCTACAATGTGTTATAACAATCCCTGTTAACAAAATTAACATGAGGGCTTATACTTTATCAATCTTGTCCACCCTTTGAGGGACCATTAGTTGAACAGATTGGGTTTGATTAAACTTCTTTTAATTTATCTAAAGATAATAGTCAATACCATAATGGACGCCTGAGGAAATTAGATATTTGAAAACATTGAGATAACTGAGAACAGAGAATTTTGCAAAGGGTGGAAGTGATGTGAGAGGAGATTCCTGTGGATCAAAAAGAGGGACAATCTCACATGGCTGGGGGTATCACAATCCCCAACTTGAAACTATACTACAAAGCTACTGTGATAAAATCAGCATGGTACTGGCAAAGGAACAGACCTGA